TAACAGAATAGACCATAAGAAATTATTTAAATTGCTTTTGAACTAGCTAACAATTTCCCAGGTTTTTGTTTAGTTTTTTACTTACCAAAGCGCTGTTGTTATTCTCTTGTTTGTTGAAATAAAAAAAACTGTCGTCTTTGCACCGCGATGTTCAACTATTAACCGTGTGCTTCCAGTACTGAGATCTGTGAAAACATTCTAAAGTATACATCGATTAAGTTTTTTGATACGGTGGGCATGACACAAACTAGATAGCTCACTAGCGCCCTTCTGTAATACGGCAGCTGTTTTTTTTTTCTTGTTTTACAGTAACGGAAGTATATTGCCCAGATATCCTTGTTCGATTATACCTTTTTTTAAAGCGAAACTAAGCAAATTGACAATTTGTAACGCGAGTATTTCGCTAATGGACGTCTACGGTTACACTATCAATTTTAACTTAAAATTATTTATGTTAGCCCGAACAGTAATTGCTGATAATGTGATAAGGTACAGTCGCGGAAATGTGCGGTGTTCGTTTTAGGATTGCCTTGTTCATTGCAACGAGACAAACTCCGCCTCTTCCCAGAAATAACTAATTAGATAGCATCTAATATATAAATTAATAATAGTTAATAATTATCTATATAACATCATTGATTATCTTAATAATAAATAATTTATTAATGATTAATAATTATGTTATAGTTAAATGAAATTATCCCTTCGTTTAACGAACTTTTTCTTTCCTCCTTCTTTTGGGAAGTCGGTCAAAAATGAAATTAACCGTGTATCGCAAACCGACTTTTTTCGTACAGACACATTTATAAGCTGCGTTGTATTGAGTATTGTACCGCGTCTTGTTCCATGTTCAAACGATTGTGGCTTTAAGGTAGAAAGAGATGGATGGAATGCGTGAAAGATGACATGATCAAAAAGGGAGTGATGACTGAGATGAGTTATTTAGAGGACAAAAACCTGCTGCGCCGACCCGACGGGAGTAGAATAACCAGGAAGATGATGATCGCAAGTTTCCCTAACTGTACATTCACACCTACATGTGTATTGTAACTTGCAGTACAAAAGTTTACCATGAATTTAAAGATAACGCATTCGGGGTTTTGATTTTTTGAGGAAATTTAAACAAAGGTGTGTAAACAACGCTCACGAAGTCGCGGGCAAAATCTACTAAAAAATAATCTTACTTATCATATTAATATTATAAATGTGAAAGTTTAGATGGATCGATGGATATTAGAGTTTCTAGCCTAAACGGCTGAACGGATTCAAATGCAATTTGGCATAGCATAGTCTGGAAGAACACATAGGCTACACGCATTTGTTTTTTTATTCCACGTGGACGAAATCGCGGGCGAAAGCTAGTTTGTAATATTTGTATTAAATGTCTTCTTCAGTGTACGTTTTTGTTAAGACAATGTTATCAGTTGTTGTTATTACTTCAATAACATAAAGATTTTATTTACAGTGTTATGTAAATTGTTTATATAATATTGTTATCTAAGAGTATATACTAATTACTTTATGACGTTAATTATAGCTGGCTCCATACAATGTGACAGATTGGTAGAGAAAATGTTTTGATTTTTTGTTTAATTATTTTTTTCTTCAAAATTTACTCTTCAATGAATGGAAACTGTGCAATTTGTATAATTAATTAAAAATTGCAAACTTGAAAACATTGGTAACAGTAATCAATAAATTATGCAGAACGGTTAAGTATTGACAAATCTGATTTTCGACTAAATTTTTTTTTTTAAACTTTGTTACACTGTTATACTTGTTACTTTATTCTTTATACCAAGTAATAGGTTATTTAGAATTAAGTACTACAAGAATATTTCTTAAGAAATATTAAAATGATTGAGTTAGCTGATTCACCTTTCATTTGTCTTATCTAATAACGCTACCATGTTTATTATTTACATTTGTGGCGCTAGGCGTCGCTGCGGGCGCCGCGACAGTAGCGCGCTTTACATGTCGTGGACGCACGTACGTCGTGCCGAATAAACTTTCTAATTTGTTTATTTTGTTTATAATTGTGTGCTGAATATTAATTGCGGTGTGGAATACAGAAAAAATCTATATTTACACATCTAGTTTCTAATAAACAGGTAATTGCATTTCTTAAAATTAACCTAAATTGCGTTTCAAGGTTATGATGCTTGTTTATTTTGTTTATAACGCCGATTGAAACTGACAATTCAAACCTTCTCTAACTTAGTTCATAATAGCATATTCTATGTTTATATTCTTCAGAAGTTTTGATTATTATTTTCTTATAAGAATTATGTACTCCCTATAAATGTAAAATAGACTATAAATAAAATGAATTAGAGACAACTTTGTACGTTTTTACGCATAATAAAGTAGGAAATAGAAATAGAATAACTATTTTAGGCAACCCAAAATAAAACCGGCACCTTACCTTATCTCTTATTTAAATTCGGACTTTATTGCTTTATGTTAAAGTTTAAATTGACTTAACTTACAGAATGCATCAAATCACACCATTTGGTTTGGTTTGGAGTGTCGAAAAGCAAACCAAGTTACGTTCGTCCAGAAAATATGTCGCTTTTTATTTCTAACTATTTGTAAATATATTTTTAACAATTTTAACTATTAATATTGCTTTTAATATACGACACTAAGATAAAGGTTTATCCACATAACATATTTCCAAGACAAGTTAATAGGTCATTAACCTAATGTAAGTGATACACGACAGTTCATTCCAAGTTACAATCTTAAGTTAATAAACAATGTTTATTACTTTCTACAATAGACGTTCTATATAATTATATCAGCCACATTCATTTACATTATGACATGTAATTAAATTGGTTTAGCGCGAGTATCAATTAGTTTAACCGGCTAGTTTATTTTTATTTTCCTTAAGGACGATGTTTCATTAATATAATGTTTCCTTTCAAAAAAATAACCTGTGTCCACGGAAAATCTAAACATGAAAATAATCGCTTGAGTAAGTAAATAATAAAAAGTATTCGAACCTCTATTTATTTATTTATATAAGTAGCAAAATAGCTAATTTAATTACATAGGAAAACCTATCATCATCCTATTGTAATTGTCGTCTATTATCAGCGCTACAAGGGTATGAAATTTCTACGGAGCCCCCTTTTTTACCAGCTATTAGAGAAGAGGACCCCCCTTACGTTTAACAGACTTATATTAAAAAGCAGTTATTTTTTTCAAGGTCGTAAGTGATCATGGGTAAAGTAGCGACATCAGAAGCATTACGTTTCATGACGGACTGCCTGAAGGCGGTGGGCGCGGCGAGCAGGCCGGCGCAGCAGCAGGCCGAGTTGTTACTGCAGGCTGATCGACTTGGACATCCCAGCCATGGACTCAACAGACTTGGTAACTAAAGGGTAGACGAACAAAGTTTTTTGTCAAATATATTCAAAAACGTTATATTTGACAAAAATTAGATCGTTTGAATACTTTAAATTATCTGATATCACAAATTTGATTAATCTATCGCACAACTGTTGTGCGATTGTCGATTGTTTCGCGGCCACTTGAACTGTAGTTGCACAACTAAAAATCGAGTAGTGTGCCCACCTTCATCATAGGAATCGCTCACAGGAATCAAAGCGAGACTAAACAGTTGTGCGGTAGTTTAAAAGTGCGAGTACTCTGAATGTTAAGAAAAGTACACCCATCAGTATACCTTTTTCATCTTTACGGTTTTCGCTTCCAGAATATTACATAAACGATATCAAAACCGGGGCATGTTCTCCTAACAACGAGCCACGCGTGCTGAAAGAGAGCGCATCCACGGCATGGGTGGATGCCAACAACGTGCTAGGAGCGACCGCGGGACACTTCGCTATGGACCTCGCTATCAGCAAGGCGAGGGACACCGGCGTAGGCTGGGTTAGTGTGAAAGGTGAACTCTAAAATCGATATTTATTCCTTTAAATTTCGATCTCCTCTGAACATAGAGAACCAAATGGTTTTAATTGTTAACTTATTGTCTTATTGGATTATTCCCAACTGGTGATGGGACTCGAGTGATTTTTTTTCACTCGAGTCACTCGGTACTCGTAACTTTCTCACTCGAATGCCACTCGAGTGAAGATAAGGACTCGAGGGATGTTTATAGACGCGAGTTATTCGGAATATAAAAATCGATTAACCAAAATTTTAAAACCAATAAAACAATGTTAATTTAACATAAAGAAATCATTTTCGCATTAATGTAAAAGTTACTCAAAAAATCTGTACAAAATGTGTAAAAAAAGTATGTTCCTTTAAACTAAACCTGTCTACATTATCAAGAAACCTCTTAAATCAACTATTAGTTGAAATTTTATAGTGTATATTACTCATAAGTTCTAATCCATTTTAATTAATTCTAACAAGTAATTTTCATGAGATCCAAATATGAACAGTTTTATTATGTTCTTACGGAATTTTGATAATAAACCTGCTTTAAAATTAACTTAAATAAAGCTTAAATAAACTCAACAAAAGAACAGAAATAGTGTGTTTTTAAAAAGATAACAAATTTAACTGAAAATGGTGTAAGAATTTCTTACTCCGCTTAGTATAAACCAACAAAGTGGTTACGAGTCACTCGTAATTCGAGTCAACTCGAGTCACTCGCAACTCGAGTTGTCAAAAATTTCACTCGAGTCCGAGTAAGATAAAAATGACTCGGAGTCACTCGAGTAAAATGCAACTCGAGTCCCATCACTATTCCCAACCGTCACTCCGCACTGTCCCCACATTGGGCCATATATAAATAAAAAGTTTCATCCGTCGAACCATTTAGTCCCACTATCATAAGGTGACAGGTGGTACCGTTAAGAAATAAAATAAGTTCCAACCGTCCCTTCGTCGCAAAAGGTAGGACGGATGAAACTTTATTTTCTCATCTGTCCCCGCTCTGTCCCGAAGTGAGGAAGTACAGGGTGACGGTTGGGAATAATTCGTCTTATTGTATTATTGTTAATTGTAGAAATGCTTTAAATGTTTGCATGAATGATTGAATTGGTATGCATTGTTTCAATCTTGGCATGACCTTTGTATAAGTAAATATCTAATAGGAAATGTTTATATTGAATAGAGTAATAATTTATTATTTCTTAAGGTTATAAAAAATATTGCATACGTATTGCATTTTATGACTAAACTCAAAGTGTTTATTTTACAGTTTTTCGAATATATTTTTTAGGATCTAATCACTTCGGTATAGCTGGCTGGTGGGCGCAGAAAGCAGCTGATAAAGGTCTGATAGGAATGGCATTTACTAATACTTCGCCGTTACTTGCACCAACGAGGAGCAAACAGGTAAATTTTACAAGCATTATGTTAATTTTAATGCATACCTAACACTTTGTTGGTTGCTAGCGGATTTTATTTATCATCCACTTAATAAATTCTGTTCGTAAAGGCCGCTACACACGATCAGTTTCAGATAATTCAAACCTGTGTAAGCAAAACTGTTCTCAGTTTACAGTTTTATTAGATTTATCTGGACGATCAGATCGTTCAGATAAAACTGTCAGATGTAACTGTTTGTAACCGGCTTTAGTTCAAGTATAACTTTGTGACATTTAATCGAGCGAAGTGTCCCTATTTGTGTTTTAGAATAGAATTGGGTGCATCATACTCTGTGTGTAAATAATTCAATCACATTTGACTATAAATAGTTTATATAATGTGTTACACGTACAAATTAAATTATAAAATATTCATTGTAATAAAATTGCATTTGCATTGTAGTAATCCTGCCTTATTAGTACTATATTTTTCGCAATGAGAGGTGGAGTTTTATATTCCTGGTCAGGGTTTAACATTTTTTTTATGTGTACAGTCGGCGCTGGGTACAAATCCTATAGCAGTGGTGGCTCCAGCAGAAAACGGTGAAAGCTTTTATTTAGATATGGCGACCTCAGCTGTTGCTGTGGGGAAGGTAAGTTTTCTTTACTTAAATAACTAGCTTTCGCCCGCGACTTCGTCCGCGTGAAATTAAAAAATAATAAAAAAGTATTACTTGCTGATGCTTGTGTTACTTGCTGATAACGTAGCTTTTTAATGGTGAAAGAATTTTTGATATCGGGCCAGTAGTTTACGAGTTATTCCAATACATACAAAAATACAAATCTTTCCTCTTTATAATATTAGTATAATTACTTATTCCCTACTAATATTACAAATGCAAAAGTCATGATGGATGGATGATCGCTTGTTGGACTTTGTAGCCTAAACTTCTAAACAGTTCTCCATTATATTTGGCACAAATGAAGGGCTTTTCTCGAATAACACATAAGGTATTTACTAAGTTTTTCTTAATTCCACATGGATGGAGTCGCGAGCAAAATCTAGTTTTTCATTATTCTTAGATGAGGGTGTTTTATAATCTGATTGACGGAAATAATGTTTTTACAGATCGAAATGCAACTACGCAAAGGCGAGTCGATACCGGCTGGGTGGGCGCAGGGACCTGACGGCAAGGAGACTAATGACGCTGCTTTGGTGAGTAGACTTGGAATGGCTGAAATTGTATAAAATAGGTTCTAATCCGTCTTATAGTTGACTAGCTGTTGCCGTACGGCTTCATCCGCATGACATAAAAACTGTATTGTAACATACTTCTTACTAATATTATAAATGTGAAAGTTTAGATGGATGGATGTTAGGATTTGTAGCCTAAACGGCAGAACTGATTTCGATGAAATTTGGCATAGACGTAGAGGTATTTTTTTTTGATTCGACGCGGACGGAGTCGCGGGAGAAAGCTAGTTATAAATAAACTTAAT